GTTTGTTTTTAACATAGTTCACGGTGGAGCTGCTGACATAATGTGGATCCGAAGATCCATAATTGGCCTACCTGGGGTTGAAAGTCTTGATAAAGGCACGGCGTTTCGGCTGCTTCCACGAGTGTGACGCTTATTTTGAGTAATCAAAAAATAATAGAATATAATTTTATATTTCAATATCACAATACTCTTCCAATTTAGAACTACAAGTTAAAAAGAACATAAATAAACATAAATAAAATACACTTCAGCTAAATACTTAAAAAAAAATTTATTTTCCCAAACCACGCGGAGCCGCACTATAAGGACTAAAGAGCCGCATGCGGCTCCGGAGCCGCAGGTTGCCGACCCTTGATCTAAACTTAGCTTGAGTTATCACTTTCATGACGCATAAACAAGCATGGAACTTTCCTGTGTTATCAAAACTACAATGTGTTTAATTTGCGTGACGATATTGAAGCTTTTTTAAAGTAAATATTAAAAGTAAAATATTAATTTGAGTAAATGTTATAAATCTAACTTGTTACAAAAACCATAAAAACCATACATCAGTCCTCTGATCATGTTTAGCACATTTCTAATGCCGTTCTTTTACAATAAAAGGCTGTTCGTAACACATTTATCAACATACCTTTTCATTTTCTATTTACAGTCAAAATCTGTGACGCGAATAATATCAGAAATAGTGATAAGTGAGGAAGCTGTTGTCTCTTAATCGGTGTCATGTAAAAACACTGTTATAGTGTGCAAAGTTTGCATCTTATCAGCAAGGTACAATCATGTGGCTCTTGTCAGGGCAGCACTTCATTGTTACCTAATCATTACTTGTGTATGTTGGTAGAGCAAACACAAAATCCCTTTCAACAAAAGGCAAATATAATGATCGCAGTCCAGTGTCTCTGTGTCTGCCGTGGAGCAGCTCACACTGACAGTGTCTCTCTCACAAATTCGTTTGAAGTAGAAGCCAGGGTGCCGTCATAGATTGTAGAGAGCGACACATCTGCACCGGCGTTTACAACTCCGTTGTCGCCCGGGGAGCCCTGTCTAACCAGCCTGCCGCTCTTTCTGAGGGAGTTCCTGATCCCGCTGGCGAGGCGATCAGACAAGCGCCTCACCGCCCGGCTCAGTCCACGGTTCTTCTGCTTCGTCATGCCCACGTCGTCCTCCAGCTCCTCCGGCGGCACGTCGATGTTCCCCGTGTACCAGAACACCCACCAGATCAGGCTGAGGAAGAGGATAATGGCCCCGCCGTAGACACACAGATCGTGGATAACCAGTCCTCCAAACACCCCAATCATTATAATCAAGACACCGAGTATGTCGTGGGCCACTGCGAACCAGAATGAGCACTTGCAGCGGCCAACTCCTCCGTGCCTCTTCTCCATGATGGGCTCCACCTGTACAGGTGTTGACATGATGACTTATCCAAAGAGTTTATCCAGACGTGGAAGAAAATCCAAAGCATCAAACTTTAGCAGCCGGTGTAAAAGCAAAGACAATCAAGTCTGATCCTCGCCGAGAGAAACATAAAACAACCTGCTGTGACACGGTCAAAGTACAGTGTACTCAGGCCATTATCAGCAAGAGCCACACCAGCTTGACTGTACTGGATGTGTCAGAGCACTATATAGAGCATTTAATAGCGTTTTATCTTTGACATCATCAAGTCTTTTCCATCTTCTGCTCAAGCCCCCTGGCTGATCCGTTTCCGCCTTTCCTTCTCTTTCAGAATGGGGACCCACACCAGCCCCATCGCCACAAACATCAGCCCTAAAGACAGGCAGGCCGAGGCTACAGAGCGGGACGCTTCAGTCACCCCTGAGTACTGGAGCAGTAAAAGTACTGCGCCTGCTACAGCCATCAGAGATCCCATCACAATCACAATGATAGGTTTGTGGAGGTAAGCACGGCCCGGGCCTTCGGCAGCTGCTGGCTGTGTGTCTGGGTACAACCGCTGGCTCCCAAAGTCACCCGAAAAAGAAGTTTCCATAGTTGAAACAAAGCCTTGTACATTTGACGTAAAGAGAAGGGAGATGATAGCAAGTGGACCTCAACAGGACACCAATTGTCTTCTTAAAATCAGTCCCGAGCCGTTCTGTTCATTCTCCCAGTCCATGCAGACATCTGTCAAGAATGCAGCACGAAAGAGTTGTATCATCTGCACGATGACCAAGTGTGTGACTGCCTGATGCATCTCTTAATCTGTTGCTCAGTAACCCGTGAACACGCTGTAATTCCAGATGGGCCACCACACCCACGCAGCTGAGTGAGGACAGACAGTCGCAGCCCACCTGATGACAACAATGTCATCACCTCTCATTAGCTTGCTGTCAGGACGATCTTGTTACAGTACACTTCCAAAACAAAGGCTGTCTATTGGAAAGCAGGGAAAAAACAACCCGAAACTGCTTATTGTCACAAGAATCAGATGGTGTGTAGAATGTTATGCATGCTTGCAGTTTCTGACATTATTATGTTGAAAAGAAATGCAGAGTTTCATATATTGGATATACTCCACCCTCTCCACTCTCTCTCTCACACACACACAACGCACTATTACTTGCTGACAGCAGCTGCACAGGCTGGGTATTATAGGTATTATTCCCATTAACAATGGGGATGTCATCTGATACAGCTGGATGGCTTTCCAAGCACAGAGCCATATCCAGCAAAAGCAAACAAGGCTAATACATGTTAGAGCAAACAACTGTTCATATAGATAGATAGATAGATACCGGTAGATAGATAAAAACTGAAATCATGAGCTGATGCTGATAAGAGCCACATGATTATACCTTGCTGATGTACAAGCTAATCCTCCTTGATATAAGGTGGATGGTGTTCCGGTCTCCTCTGAGACCTGAGTGAGCTCCTTGGACAGTCTGTGTAATGTGTGGCATAGATGCACTGATAAATCATGTCCCAGAGGTTCCCAAACAGAGTGCAGTTTAGCAGTGTAGTTGCCCATTCACAATTATTTTGCTGCCATTTGACCAACAAGTGCAGCTGTAAATAACAGGAGTAGCTGAAAATACTCATCTTTCCAGGCCTAAAAAACAGTATCTCGTTATTTTCTCTAAAATGTTCACAGGATTACACATCAGGCTTCATACACTGCTCGATTACTTTATGCATCTTTGCAAGTTTCCAAATATTAGAAAAATTGAAAAAAAAATCCACCTTTCAGAACTAATGAATGTCATATTTGAGAACCGTGATTCATTTACAATAAGCAAGGCTGTGCCTGCACATGATAGCAAAAACATTCTGAATATGAGGTTGGCAAACAGTTTAATTTTTTTATTCACATTGCCTTATTATTATAGCTTTTAAATGGAGCCTCGGGTTTGATAGGTTGAGCAACAATATTTTTTTCATAGTGGAGGAATTCAATCCATTTTTGTGTGCACACTCCTCTACTTTCAGGAAGTCATTGTAATTGGGCAAATTAGCATCACCGTACATAAAATCTTCATTTTTAGCTTGTCATGATTCCTTTGAGAGCATTGACTGCCTGAGGCATTGAATCTGCTGACATCACCGAGCAGCGGGGTTTCTCGTTTGTGATGTTACTGCCATTAGCGTCACGTTCAACAAGTAAAATGCACCAATAGATGATTGACTCACCTGCTGCACAATAATCCCCCCCCACAATTTTCAAAAACTCACCGAGTGCCTTTTTCAGCACATTTTGGATCGTTGTCAAAATTATACACTCATCAATGTCTCCCAGCAGCCTAACTGACAAACGACTCAAACACTGTTACTAGTGAAGTGTCTGTAATTGAACACTTGAATCTTAGTAGAAAATGGCTGTAAACCTTTAACAAAAAAGATTTAACATCTCCAATTAAAGCTGAATTTTATAATCCCATATTAATCAGATAAATATAATTTGAATGCATTTCCATTTGTCAGTGGCAACAAGTAATCATATTAACCCAACTACAACCCTTAACCCTGTAATACCATGTGTATTGTATTTGATACACGAGTTTGTGTAATTTTTTCACCCACAAAACCTAAAAGAATTGCACATTTTTTTTGCAATAAATTGCATAAAAACCATCAGGTGTATTGACAACGGTACACATGAAAACGAATGCACCACACTTTAGCCCTGCGTCAGGCAGGTGGCTGGTCCAGGATGTACCCCGCCTCCACCCTATTGTAGCTGGGATAAGCTCCAGCCTCCACTACAACTCCTCCAGTTTCAAACACATTGACAAAATATTTCAGCGTTCAGGCTTTATTACAACAGCACATAACCCCAACACTGTATATGAAAACTGGGAATTGTGTGAGAATCTTCCAAAGGTTAGCTGCTTGATTAGGTCGAGTCCAAGGCACTGACACTGTATGATGACTCACCACAAAATGGGCTTGATTCAAACACATTATGAGTAGTTTTGTCTCTACTGTCATCAAACAGTAACATTACATTCACAGAATACAACATAACTAGAGGGAAAAAGAAGAACAGAGAAAAAAATAATAATTCAATGTCCACGTTAACGATCATTTCACTTTAGGTACTTTTCTTTTTACTTTGGAGTCGGTCTTCTTGATCAGTTTGCGCTGAGCTTTTGTTCCTTTCTTCAGCGCTGCGGGTTTGGGGGCTTTCTCCAGCTTCTTCTTTTTGGACGGCTTCTACAAAAAAAAAAAGAAAACGTAAAAAAGCCAAAAAAAAAAAAAAACCGAAATCATCAGTTGAGGTTCCCTTCAACTCAAACAGCTGTGAAAAGTACTGACCTCCAGTTTAGGCTTTTTGATAGGGGTTTCTATGGGAACCAGCTGTGGGATTTCTTCCTCCTCCTCTTCAGCTGCTGCTTTATTTTTCTTCACCTTCTTCACCTTCCTCTTGCCCTCTGCAGTAGCATCTGCTTGCTCTTTGTCCTCCGTCTTATTTTTCTTCGTCTGCTTTGTGGCTGCAGATTCCTGAAATGCACACAAACTTGTTACTTTTCCGAATGTTTCAACAAATGCAGCTTATACAAAAAACATAATAATACATTTTGAGTGCTAACTTGTACTCACCTTGCCTTTAGGCGTCTGAGCTTTTTTGGACTCCAGGACAGAGAGATGGCCCAAGTCTGAGGTGTAGACAGGCAGAGCCACCGACGTTTGACTCTTAATGTGGATGAGTTTAATCACAGGTCCTTTCTGTAAAACAGCGATCAAATCAGACACGGCAAGAAAAACTTGCATCGATACATAAAAGAACGCTGTGCAACTTTTTGAATTCCAAACTGAAATTGCACACTCTAAATAGTGTTGGACGATGTATCGAATATACTCGATGTATCCTAAGTTTGTCCACGTACGATGGTTAAAATAGCTTTATCGTAACCATCGAGTATAGGTTGCCATGTAAATATTAAGCTGTCTGCACATAATTCAGAGTTTTTTTTCTCCCACAAGCTGCGAATGCATCATTAATCCCCCCTCCCAACCAGAAAGTTTTCTACACTGCACTGAGCATGCGCATTCATACACCATCAGATAGGAGAAATATGGCGACGGCAGGCCATTCAGACTTGGATTTCACGAGGAGGACGTTGAACAAAATGCGGTAATTTGCAAATCATGCTGTTAAACTATTGCCGGAAAAGTTAGAAGAACCACAAAGTTATTCCACCAGCTGAAAAGTGATCCAGTGCAGAATGAAAAATGTTTTAAACTCCGCGTGTGAACGTCTCCCCACACACCAAAGAAAACTTTAAATAAACCAGCTGTGACGCGACCTACAACTGTGATTGGCGAGAGAAAAACAGCACGGTAAGTTTAATCCATGTTATTTTTTATCAAACAAAGTTATTTTGGTCTGAATCTGTGAGATCTCTACACGTGCCGTTTGCTTGGTTACGTAAAGTCAAGCGAGTTTGTAGCTTCCTTGTTTGTGTTTAGGCACATTTCACGAAATTGCGTAACTGCGTTTTTAATAGTTTGCCATTTTCGCTGTTCGATGGTTGTTGAAATGGTTTATGTGAGCTTTTAGCTAAGATTCGGATGTTTCTGTGGATCCACACACGCTGACTTCACTTAGGCTTAAACTGCAGCTCACCCCCTTTGTCCCCGGTGCTGGGGACACTGAGGCTCAGGACATATTGTGATATTTTATCGCGTATTGCAATATAGCCACAAAATAATCGCAATATTAGATTTTCCTCACATTGCCCAACCCTAACACTGATCAGTGCCCATTTTACTGCACAGAAACTGTGCCGTTTGATACCGAGAGGTGCGTTTTCTTCCATACACGAAACAATCAATTAACCACTGACTGCACGAAAGGCCCGATCCCACTGAACGCATCATCCATCACGTTTAATCACAGGCAAAATAAAAACTGCTGAAGCCAATGAAACAAATCAGCCGTTATCTACATGCTAGTATGACACGTACGACTCAAACTTCTTCATTTCTGCACAGAGATGCTGGATTTTTGTTTTTGTCACCAGTAGACTGGTGCTGGAACCAGTTGTGGGGACTTCCCTCCCACAC